ATGCCTTACTATACTTTGACGTTTTTATGACTTTTTATCTCTTATTATACTATGACTTTTTCATGCCTTACTATGCTATGACATTTTTATGACTTTTTATGCCTTACTATACTGTGACGTTTTTATGACTATTTATCTCTTATTATACTATGACTTTTTCATGCCTTACTATGCTATGACATTTTTATGATTTTTTATGCCTTACTATACTATGTCATTTTTATGACTTTTTATGCCTTACTATACAATGACGTTTTGATGACTCTTTATGCCTTACTATACTATAACGTTTTTATGACATTTTAAGCCTGACTATATTATGTTTTTCTTAGCTTTCATGCCTTACTATACTATGACGTTTTGATGACTTTTTATGCCTTACTATACTGTGACGTTTTTATGACTATTTATCTCTTATTATACTATGACTTTTTCATGCCTTACTATGCTATGACATTTTTATGATTTTTTATGCCTTACTATACTATGTCATTTTTATGACTTTTTATGCCTTACTATACAATGACGTTTTGATGACTCTTTATGCCTTACTATACTATAACGTTTTTATGACATTTTAAGCCTGACTATATTATGTTTTTCTTAGCTTTCATGCCTTACTATACTATGACGTTTTGATGACTTTTTATGCCTTACTATACTGTGACGTTTTTATGACTATTTATCTCTTATTATACTATGACTTTTTCATGCCTTACTATGCTATGACATTTTTATGATTTTTTATGCCTTACTATACTATGTCATTTTTATGACTTTTTATGCCTTACTATACAATGACGTTTTGATGACTCTTTATGCCTTACTATACTATAACGTTTTTATGACATTTTAAGCCTGACTATATTATGTTTTTCTTAGCTTTCATGCCTTACTATACTATGACGTTTTGATGACTTTTTATGCCTTACTATACTGTGACGTTTTTATGACTATTTATCTCTTATTATACTATGACTTTTTCATGCCTTACTATGCTATGACATTTTTATGATTTTTTATGCCTTACTATACTATGTCATTTTTATGACTTTTTATGCCTTACTATACAATGACGTTTTGATGACTCTTTATGCCTTACTATACTATAACGTTTTTATGACATTTTAAGCCTGACTATATTATGTTTTTCTTAGCTTTCATGCCTTACTATACTATGACGTTTTGATGACTTTTTATGCCTTACTATACTGTGACGTTTTTATGACTATTTATCTCTTATTATACTATGACTTTTTCATGCCTTACTATGCTATGACATTTTTATGATTTTTTATGCCTTACTATACTATGTCATTTTTATGACTTTTTATGCCTTACTATACAATGACGTTTTGATGACTCTTTATGCCTTACTATACTATAACGTTTTTATGACATTTTAAGCCTGACTATATTATGTTTTTCTTAGCTTTCATGCCTTACTATACTATGACGTTTTGATGACTTTTTATGCCTTACTATACTGTGACGTTTTTATGACTATTTATCTCTTATTATACTATGACTTTTTCATGCCTTACTATGCTATGACATTTTTATGATTTTTTATGCCTTACTATACTATGTCATTTTTATGACTTTTTATGCCTTACTATACAATGACGTTTTGATGACTCTTTATGCCTTACTATACTATAACGTTTTTATGACATTTTAAGCCTGACTATATTATGTTTTTCTTAGCTTTCATGCCTTACTATACTATGACGTTTTGATGACTTTTTATGCCTTACTATACTGTGACGTTTTTATGACTATTTATCTCTTATTATACTATGACTTTTTCATGCCTTACTATGCTATGACATTTTTATGATTTTTTATGCCTTACTATACTATGTCATTTTTATGACTTTTTATGCCTTACTATACAATGACGTTTTGATGACTCTTTATGCCTTACTATACTATAACGTTTTTATGACATTTTAAGCCTGACTATATTATGTTTTTCTTAGCTTTCATGCCTTACTATACTATGACGTTTTGATGACTTTTTATGCCTTACTATACTGTGACGTTTTTATGACTATTTATCTCTTATTATACTATGACTTTTTCATGCCTTACTATGCTATGACATTTTTATGATTTTTTATGCCTTACTATACTATGTCATTTTTATGACTTTTTATGCCTTACTATACAATGACGTTTTGATGACTCTTTATGCCTTACTATACTATAACGTTTTTATGACATTTTAAGCCTGACTATATTATGTTTTTCTTAGCTTTCATGCCTTACTATACTATGACGTTTTGATGACTTTTTATGCCTTACTATACTGTGACGTTTTTATGACTATTTATCTCTTATTATACTATGACTTTTTCATGCCTTACTATGCTATGACATTTTTATGATTTTTTATGCCTTACTATACTATGTCATTTTTATGACTTTTTATGCCTTACTATACAATGACGTTTTGATGACTCTTTATGCCTTACTATACTATAACGTTTTTATGACATTTTAAGCCTGACTATATTATGTTTTTCTTACCTTTCATGCCTTACTATACTATGACGTTTTATGACGTTTTTATGTCTTACTATACTATGACATTTTTATGACTTTTTATGCCTTACTATACTATGATATTTTTCTTACTTTTCATGCCTTATTGTACTATCACTTTTTTTACTTTTTAAATATTACTGTAGTATGACTTTTTATACGTTAGTATACTATGACGTTTTTCTTTTTGACATTTTAGGCCTTATTATACTATGAAGTTTGTATGCCTTACTATACCATGACTTTTTTTGACATATTTGACGTATTTTACTATGACGTTTAATCACATTTTTATGTCTTACTATACTGTGATGCTTTATTTTACATTTGTATGCCTGACTATACTATCATGATTTTTTGAAATTTTTATGCCTTACTATACTATGATCTTTTTATGCCTTAATATACTATTACATTTTATGACATTTTTATGCCCGAGTATAGTATGACTCATTATAAAAACATAATATAATGACTTACTATACTCTGACATTTTTATGACTCACTATATTATGACATTTTTAGGAGTTACTACACTACGACATTTTTTATGACATAGTATACTATGACATTCATTCATTTATGTAAGCTTTCCTCACCATCACTGCTAAAATTTGTGTCGTCAGGGCAAAATTAAGTGGCTCCTCTGGCCGAACAACTGGCTCTAGGCTGATCCCTACTTTTTCATCATGCCTGAACCGGTGATAGTTAAATGGATTACAAAAAACTTTGATGAGCTCTCCTGACCTGTGGCGACATTGATGATTCTGCTTTTTCTCACCCTCTTAATTTGCCAGATGAGTGTTTGGGTTGATGAATTGCAGTGCTTTGCTGTTCTTAAATTGGCTCAACTGCCAAATGATTTTTCCCTCATGGTCATTTATCTCTAAGCACAAACAGGAAATCAATTGATCGCTACAGGAAACATAGTGCATTGAAGATTTAAGACAGTTAACTGCCTACCTAATCTCAGACAAGAAAATAAATTTCCCTAGTTTTTTTTTTTATGTTGAGATGAAACCTCTTGGTCCTGCTGACATTAGGAGATATCTGGATTACAGTCAACACTAAAACCTAGAATTACTTATGTTTGTTGATAAAGTTGGTCAGTCAAGTACAATTATCAAAACTGGCGGTAGTTTGACAGTAAAACAGTGGAGTGGAATATCAGACAAAAACCCTGCAATAAATGCTCCCTTCTTGAAGGTTGTAATATTCAGTTTTGGTTGAAACTGTTTTTGAGGTGTTGATTCAACTTTATGATCATTCTGGAGGCTGTTGTTTATGGTGCAGTTGCATTGTGTTAAACTGGCAGATGTTTCTAATATTTCTGCAATGCGGGCAGAGGGCAGTAATACTAAACTCCAGCCTACAAATCCATATTCATAGGCTTTGTGTAAGAATAGCTACTTAACCTGAAAATTGTGGATTGACAAAATTGACTTGCCTGCTTCAGTGGAGGTAAATTAACAAAAGTAATGAACACAGAAGCAAGGTTAATTAAGAATTACATCCTGTTTAGTAACCACATGGTGCCAATAACCAGAACTAAGACTTACAGCTAAAGAAAAACAAACACAATCTTTGTTAACTTCTTTTATTAAGGATTTTCTTCTGTACAAGAGTGAGGAGTTTCTCTGTTCCAAGTTAGCTAGTCAGCAGCTCTGTACAACTGTCTGTACAACAGGATGTAAAACGTAACTGATGAGAAAATGTGTTAATGAAAACTTGTGGCTTTTGGTAGAAGGCAGGTCACAAGGTGAAACATGGATTGATTGAACACACATCTGCGCACGCACACACTCTTTAAACTATTTACAAAAAGATGACCGACTGGCTCTTGATACAGATAAGTAGAGCGAGACCAGCTAAAACACAATTCAAATAGTTATCACATAAAAAAAGTCTTTGAAAAGTCTTTCAAAGGGGGAAAACAAGAAAAATAAACTCAAAATCATCCATAAAAGACCCATTAAAAGGCCCATCTGGAGTTAGTTTATTTACAGTCTGGTTTAAAACAAAGGCTCTCTGCTATTAAATCACACAGTGTTGCTGACCTTATTGAGGTCAACCACATAAACCCCACCTGCTCTGTCAGTGCTGATAGTGATGCTGCCACTTCATCTGAAACCTCTGTCCTAATACAGAGACTGATCAGATGACACAAAAGGTGTTAAAACAGGAAAATGTTAAATTCTAGTTGGTCTCTGACAAAACTGACTTGACAAAAAAGAGATCTGAGCATTTTGTGAAATGCCAGGAAAACATACTTTACATAGGGGTGGTATATACTGTGTTTTGTGCCAGTGCTGCAACTCTTTAATTTTCCCTTTGAAAACTTGTTGGCATTACAATATAATTTCAAGCTTATTAGTTCTTCTCAATTCGGCTTTAATCATCAGTTGTTATTCTGTCTACTTATTCATTTAATTTTTCAGTTTCAATTAATTTTCTTTTAATTTCTCAGACAATGAATCACTATAATTTGTTGAAATGTGAAGCTGCACAAATAATTTATGTTATCATTCATTGCTATCAGATGGGCTGCAAATTTCAGGGGAAAAAAATGCTGACATGAAAACGTCACAGCGTGAAAATAGTCTTACTAAAAGGTTTAGTTTATTTGTTTGAGGGGCAGCTATACATCAGCCAGCCTTCATGGAAACAAAGATTTTAAGCTCACTTCACACTCGAACAAGGATTTAATGTTTGTTTGGACTTGACTCAGATCTTCATCTTCCCTTCAAAGTGCAAATCAGCTGAAATATGAGCTTGAGTGGCAGATACTGTAATGCTAACAAGTCAGGATAAACAAAAAAAAATCAAATGGCAGAGCAGCTTTGTCAGTCCAAACTAAAACAGATCTTCCCGAGCTGATGTCAAAAAATCATTTGACAAGCAGATATAAACCCTCTCTCTCTTTTGCTACTGCGTTATTTCGGTAAACTCTAGTTTCAAAATTATTTCAAGGCAATGTTTAAGGCCATTTTCCTTCCTATTCCATGTAGTTTCAAGGAAATTCCCAAGACCCTCAGCACTCGATTGACTTGATTTGACATGATCAACATGAAAGAAACTAAACTCATGCATGGGCCCGTGTAGTGTACAGTGTCATCATTTAAAAACAATAGTCATAAATAATAAACTATCAACAGAAAAACATGGTCAGTGTAGTTAAAAAAAAAAAAAAATCAGTTCAAGCTTACAGTACGTAGTGTGAGGAGTGTGCTGATCTTGCGGTTGTCTGTTGTAGATGGAAGTGCGTCACGATACATGTTTATTCCAAACAGATATGTGATAGCTCATCTTTATATACAACAGATCCATTATCCTCAACTTCAGTCAACCTGCAGATTTCTGGTTATGTAAATATGCCTTTACAGCCTGTAACCAGACCTCTGAATGGCTCGCTAAGATACAGTGACAAGGCTCACTTCACATTTTCTTAATGTTTGAGGAGTGTAAACTCGGGAGAATAAAAAACAACTCCAAAAAAAAGGTGGAAATACAAAGAAAAAGAAAATTGAATATGTCTGAGAAAAAATACAAATAAATAGAAATGTGTAGAAATGAACCCCTACATAAATGCCTTCCTGTTATATACTATATGTACTCTTCAACTCAATACTACAAGCCAGCATTTCCTCTGTTGCACCACTAGGGGGCATCCACAGTTACAGGTAGAGAGGAAAGGGGCCAGAAGGCAGCAGGTTCATGTAAACAACACAGGGAAAATGTGTTGAGAGACATTAAAACACAAGATGAAAAGATGCTTCAGGTGTTAGTGCGCATGAGCGACACACAGATGCAGCAGCAGAGAGGTGTGAATGTCAAGCTGCACTAGACAAGATCAGGATGAAAAAGCCAACCTTTGTCCCCCAAATCATTTCTTGCAATAACTATAACCAAGCACTCCGTCCTGAGAAGGATGAAGGAGTCAGTGTTGTTGTTTTCTTTTTGGGTCCTTTTAATATAAGAGATCTGGGTTGGACACACATTTGCATTCATTGTGTGTATGTTTATGCATGTACATATAACAGTGTCACAATCTGGTCCCATGTGGTCCATCCTCCTGGTTCTGGTAACAGAGTTTGGACTGGTCTAATCTGAGCTGCAATCACCATGTCAATACTAACCCTCATCTGAAAAACCTTCAAATTCTCAGTGGTGGTAACACATTTTACTTCTTTTCATGTGTGCTGTTAGTAAATTAAAAATTCTGTTTCATTTAGAAGAAATTAAGGCTCAGAGAATGATGTGTTTAGGCTTGATTGACAGGTGTCTCAGCCTATCACACTCAGCTATTGTGGTTGCTGCTCGCTTGGCCCAACTCAGTGCTGCCAAAATTTGGATTTTCAGGCCAAGTTAACCTTAACCCCAAAACCTCTAAAACTATATAAGTAATGTCCACATTTCTCTTCACTATGGATATGAACTGGATTGGTTCTGGTATGACTTGTAATGGAAAGTGTGCAGCCAGCACTGGTAGCAGCAGTGGATTGTGGTCTCCTGTTTGTTTTCAGCTTATTGACTTCTGGGTATTTGTCCACAGTTAATCTCTTTTACTTCTCCGTGCTCACGCACATTTCATCGTTTCGTCTTTGTTTACAGCAGGAAGGATGTGAGCCAAGACGGAGAACTGTGTCCCCATTGGTGAAAATGTGACAAGCTGTAATGTAAAATGTGCTGCGATTTCTGTTCCCTCAGCATGACAATTGCCGTTTCTGGAGGTGGCCTCAGGGTGTTGTTTTGTTGCTGTGGATAATGCACAAAGGCAAAAGAGGACACAATATCAAAACAACACATTAAAACTCGGGGTGGAATATACGAGCGGTGCAAAGGTGCAAAATCAATGATGTTTGTCTTGCTTTGGACTGCATCCTGTTCTAATTGCTCTCTTAATTGTTTTTAGGATCAAGCCACAGGCCTGCAAATTAAAAAATTGGCTTAGTGGTATCCTTCCAGATCCATTGATCAAACAATTTGTATTTTCTCCCTGCAAAATTAGATCCAATTAATTACAGAGCCTGATGGATTTTTGCTGTCTGCTGCTTTGGACTGTGCATGTATCATACCCCAAAACTCAAAGACACTGCCTCCTCATCCTCTTTTTCTTCTTCTTTTTAGACATGTCCATGTCTGCTCCCGAGGATCGTCTGCCTCCTGCCTAGTCGACACTCCAAACTCTCCCACCTCAAGGTCAGCTCTGGAGACTCTAATTTTGGGTCTGAGGATTGAAACGCCTCCTAGTTCAGTCCTAGTCCTCTTAGAGTGTGGGTCTAGTCCACTGTAGTCTGGCCTTCTCCAGATCCAGCTGTGAATGCATTTTAGGACTTCTGCTCGGCTGGGGCAGCAGGCGTGGCCAGACTCTCTGGCTTCACGATCTGGTAGGTGATTAAGTACTCTGGGTAAGCCTGGAAAACAAAAGAGTTATTTCTAGTGTTGAAACCACAACTTGATTAATAGAACAATAGAAAATGAAGAATTTTGATGATTGATTAATGGTTTAAGACCAATTATTTTAAAGACTGTTGCCCAGACATATTGAAAAAAACAATCCAAGAATTAATAGGTTGTAACACAACTTATTTCATACAACAGAGGTGTTTTACAGGCATGAACGGACAATACTGGTCAGCAAAAATTGTGTGTGTGTGTATATATATATATATATATATACACTGACCTGCTCTCCTCTGTAGATGACGTACTCTGCATACGCTAGGCCGTTGACACTGGGTCGACCTATAACAGAGTGGTGTCCAGGGGGGGCGTGGGCCATTTTCATCGCACTGAACTGAAGAAACGACTTACCCAGCGTCACTCTGCAGAACAGCATCTGCCTGTAAACACAAGGACACACACGCAAATTGAAACTGTTAATGGTAAGGTCACAAAAATGGACAATACCAGACATCACGTGCATAAATATATTTGTTTTATTACCGCTGCCAAAGAGATTATATTTTCACATGTGTCTGTTGGTTTGTTGGCGAGCAGGATTATGCAGAAATACCGATTTGCACCAAACCTGGTTGGAGGGATGGGGCACAGGCCAGGGAAGAACACATTCAACTTTGGTGCTGATCCGGTTAAAGAGGTAGAGCCAGGAATTTTTATGACTTTCCTCCGAGATAGGACATTTTTCAACACTTTTGTCAATTTCTCAGGAAATGATGATGTAAAAAAAAAAAAATCAGACGTATTTATGGTGTTGAAATCTATAACTTTGTACAATTTGGTGCTGATCCAGATAATCTGGACCTGACAGAATGTGTTGGATTGTTAGTGGAGGAATGCGCTCTACTGAGTGCCATTCTAGTTCATATTTATTATTCATAAAATCCTAACTAACTAGTAGTAACTAGTAATATGTCATATTTTTATATGCTTCATTGTGCTTCACTCTGTTACTTACTAATTACAGATGATAATTATCAAATTCCTGTTCTCTCCACTTGTTCCCCAATTCAATACATACTACATAATAATCTATGTGCTTTACTGTTTTGTATGAACAGGAGAATGATGGATGTCGATGAAACAGTGACTTTGGAATCCCTCTGCCAAGTAAGTAAAGATTGCATTCCATTTAAGAGAGCTGGTTCCATGGTCCTGGTCCTTTGCATGCTGGATCATTGTCATGGCTTACTGGGGACCTTGATAGAACTGAGCCATTGTGTAAAAAAAAAAAAAAAGTTTCACCTTTGCTTTTCCTGCTATGACAAGTCAAAAATATCTGCTGTGGAAAAGGTGTGTTAGACTTAGTATTAAATTGGGACACAGGTAGTGACCAGTAGTTCTTCCCCTCTGCACAGAAAAGTGAAAGTTGTTTGGAAAAAACTGGCCACACTGGCAGAGAAAATACATTTTACCTAAACGAATAAAAAATCTCACCTGTGGCACACGTAGCAGGAGCGGTCTTTGTGCGTGGGACATCCCGTGCCTCCACCAATCCCATACACATACTGATTGCTTTTGGAGGAGTTCTCAGCAAAATAGATGCCGGCGCCAAACATGCCGCCAATGTAGGCGTGACGCTCGTCAAAGCCCTTATGGATGATGGCATTGATGAAGGGGGAACCTGACGGGAGCAATTTTTAAAAAGTGAGAAGGGAAAATTTCCAAAGAGTCTGCCTGCAGAGCTCTGAATCTGTTTTTGTTCTGGCTTCTAAAGAAATTTCACTTTCTGACTGTCCTGTTGAGAAAATTAGCATAAAAGCATAGTGTCTCCAATGACGTGATGTCTGCATTCACCATCACCTGCAATTGCTAAACCTCCCCTTTTAGAAAACGTTCCAAACAGCTCAGTTCTCCAGACTGTGAAGCACAAATGAAACACAAGAATAAAGAGTACAGCTGAGGTAGATACTGTTTGACTAAGTGTTATCCTGGGAGACCCATGATCCAAAAGATTTAGCATACCTAGTATGATCATTGGTGCCAGATACAGTTTGAGGCATCACGGAAACCTGACAAACTTCCTGAGATTTTCTAATCTACAGTGTTTAAAGTAAAGAAACAGCACTCGGCTGCAGTCCTGAGGGTTTTGTCCTGAATGAGCCTTGTGGTTGAAAAGGGACATGGAAGATTAATGCGATTCGTTCAAGCTTGAGGTCAGGCCGCAAGAAGGAAAACATTGCAGTACAAAGCAGAGTTCATTTCAGAGCATACTAATGGTTGAATCTGTGTTTTACTTGTGTCAACTAAGAGGAAGTGACTCAAGCTGCAGGGGAGATGTGATCAAGACTTACTGAAGAGGAAAACTGTCACTAGGTCGGACAAACTAGTTTGTCTTGTGACGTGCATCTCCAACTTGGATTTTGCTGTATTTTTACAATTTCTCATCCAGCGCCCACATTGTTTAAATAGCAAATACACTTGTGCTCTGGTCTGAAGTGAGTGGCGCAGTATTTTACTGTTATTTTACAGAGCATTATCAAGGGAATAATATGCGGCTACATAGGCGAGCGCACGACGCACATTCACTCTTGTGGCAGAGTGAGCTGAGAATGAACTTTAGATAGTTGGATAAGTCAGGTGGACTATCAGAATTCAGTCTCAGAAGGCCGGAGTTTCTTTGTGGCATATTGTCTGTTGCACAACGCTAAGAGACATCCTTGACGCACGAGGCTCTGCAGAGAAGTGTTCTTTCTTTCTTTACTGACCCGTAAATCACGTAAATGTGTCCACAGCTCCATAATAAACCGAAGCTGTACCACAGCTGTCTTTATGTTCTCTGAGGGGGGTCTATACTGTTTGTCCCACATATACCACAGCAGTTCAACAGCTTTTACAAATACACAGACTTGAATTCTTGTAAAGAAAAAAAGAAGTGACAAAATACAAAAATGTTCCACTATGAAAAATTATCAATAAAGCCTAAATGGTAGTAGCATTAAATGTGAACTGTACATGATGAGGAACCCCCACCATGCTGCCCTTTATTTACCATGAAACAGCATGCGCTCGTTGTGGTGGTTGTGGTTCTCGTCTGCAATTTCCTTTTGTCTGTGTGCATATCTCTCCCGAAGCTTCTTATTCACCACCTTCTGAATCTGCAGTTAGAGGGAGGAATGAAGAAGGAAAAATATGTGTCAGTTCTGCTGTGGATTAAGAATTACATTTATTCAGATAAGACACCGTATTTAAAACTGGCAAACCCTTTACAAGTTAATTAGATCCAAGTCCTTTTTTGTGGTCATAAAGAGAGAAAACTGGTCCCTGTGCCTGTGTTTTGAGTCCATACCTTAATGATGTTGTACCGGCTGAAGACTCCGCCTGCGTTGCCTCCATCGCGGTGTTCTCTGATAGTGCTCTGTAGCTGAGGAGGAAATCAAGAGTCAGAGGACATTTATTTTCATTTTTTTTTAATTAAAAGGGTAAATGTGTGGGATAAAAACCCTAATGCAAGGCAGTTCCCATGTATGTTGATCAGAAGGCGATTCAACAGCTCTCTGGCCTGCATTAGCAGAGTTAATGATGACTCACATCTCAGTGAAAACCCTACAAGTAATATCCAGTCGCCACCTCAATGAAAAAAATCCAAACTAGTTTTTGAATTTCTTTTCTCAATTCTGTAAAGATTAATTATCTGGTGCTTCAGCTGTTACTGACTGGTGCACAAAAAATATGGATCACGAGAGCCATTTTGTCAGTGATAAAGTGAAGCAGCAACTCATTCAATCAGAGCAGATACCTCGACGATGCCTGTGGGAAATTTAGAACAATGCAGCTGCAAAAGTGCGGCATCAGCAGTGATAAAGAAAGAACTGCTTACATTTGGATTTACAACATGATGGAGCCATTTGAACAAACTTTGGTCTGACACGGATGCAGTGATTACCGTCCTTCACAAAATGACTTATCTTCCTAATGACTGAAATTATTGATGTCTATAAAATAAAATTCTGGTGTTGCATATGCAAAAGCAGTTCACCAACATTTTCTGAAATTACCGGCACAGTCCAGAGAGAGCTCACGTCAATCGTTTTTCAACATCTTAAGTAAAAAATTACAGTTTAAATTACCTGTTAAATTTCTGTTAACATGTGACGGTCCCCATTAATTTCAGACTCATTCACGATGATATCTGCTGTCTCCTTGAGTTACTGCTTTCATTTACGAGAGCAACACAGTCAGCCGAGCAGTTACACTAATATGGAGCTGCTTTGTACAGAGGGTTGCTGTGCCGTAGAGACACTGTGTGGTGTGTCCTTTAGCCAGATGTCTGAAACTACTAATGATGGACATATACAAATTTAAAATTATGACCTAACTTAAAATTCTATCATCTAATTGGGTGTCTCTATATACATCTGTTTTTGTGTAAATTAAGTTGCATGTGTGTGTAAAAGTGTTTGCATACCTCCTCCTCCACAGACTGGAATTCCTTGTCATCCGGTGCAAGGTCGATCAGCACGGTGCCCTGGCTGGAGCAGTGGAACGTCAGGTATGGGTTTGCACCTACAAACGCACATTTCAAAAGTGAATCAAGCGAAGAATAAATGACGCCACTGAGCTTTCAGGTATCTCGTCCACAGATCATGTACTCGAATTTCGAATCATGTTAACATTTTAAGTTTATGGCCTACACGCATATTCACACATATAACCAAAGGGTTTGACGTATATATGTAAAATAACATTTTGGATGTTAAATTGTTACAAAACAGATTTACTCAATATCACATTAATATTACATATTCATTTCGTTACAACACAATAAATCGGATTATAAGGTCTGTCTTAACTTCCAAGTTCTCAGCTTGTAAAAGCTAATTAAAGCTCCAAAGGTAAATCTCAACACTAATGTGCTGACATTCTGTTAACTAGTTGTAGTTTTCATTGTGTACTGTGTTATGTGTGAGTGTGTCTGCGCATCCTGACCTTGCTGACCTCCCAGCAGCCTCTCGATGCCCTTGATGAGTTTGTGTCTGTGACCATAAGCGTTGATGCCGATCTCTTTCAGCTCCTCGTGACCCATGTCTGCCAACACATCCAGCGAAATCTGCCGCAAAAACAGCGACAAACAAGCCATGTCAATCTCGTGTATGTTTCTGTCTGCTGCCAAAAGAATGTAAATTGCTAATAAACTAACCCATTATAATTCTATTGTGCAACAACGACTCTATCCATACATCTGTTAACTAAATCAAATGTTGTTGTACTGTATTTAACTGTAGAACTGCACAAACTTCAACGGAAACAACAGCAGGTCTCGCTGTAACTGGTCGTCAAAATTGACAATAATCAATAATGAGTTCAGTGATCTAAGCAGTACTGCAGAGACAACAGAGTCAAACAAATATTCATGAGAGAAAGACAGAAACAGCCTGAAGAAAAGGTCAATGGAATAGATGACAATAATCAAGCTATTGATATGTAAATTGATGATGGTGAGTTTGTTCAGGGAGAACAAAGATGAGATTCATGCTGGAGGCTGAGATTACTCCACTTTTCAAACGGTAACCTTTACCTACTTCCCTCTGTGCTGCTGTGATTACTGTTACAGGTGTAAATCATTGCAGCATAAATAACTCTGCTGGGAAAACAGCAGCAACTTAAATTTTCTCTGACACCAAAAGTTCATATCAAAAACTCCGGTGTATTTCGTAAATCGCAGCAGCCAAGAGATGAGAAGTTCGTCTTTTCACATCTGCAGAAGCCTGTTTTGTCTCTCTAACAGTTTGTGTCACAGCCAATGTGATGCAATCCCCTCAAACACCTAATAAAAGTCACAGATCAGCCCGGCTGACACTTCAAGCTGACACCTCAGTTAAATTTTTAAAAAGCCGTAAAAAGTTGCATCAGAGCAATCTGCCTCTGTAAATAGTCCATCACATCCATCTAAATAACTTCTTGTGATTCCTGCAAGAGTTTAGCCTCATGACTGAGTAATTTCAAAACCCCAATTATGTATAACTTTAAGTCTTAACGGGTGAGTTATATTAAAATTCACCCCCTGTACAGTTGTCATGAAGGAGGAAATTAGCCGTAGAGACCAAAACAGTTTTTATTGTACCAGGCTGTAAACTTGTTGATTTCTGCTGTAAAGTTGGCCATTTTGACATGGGAGTCTTTGGGGATTGACTCGCTTTTGGAGCCAGACTCAAGCGGCCATTCCAAGAACTGCAGTTTTTGGTACTTCCATGTTGGCTTCATTTTTCAGCTCCAGAGGTTGCCTCTTAGATTCACACAGCAGGAAGTTGATAGAAGTTATTAATTACTACAGTTAAAAAATTAAGTGTTTCTTGTATTTAGTTTTAACACAGTATTGTGATTCCAATTTAAATTTTTACTTTGGTTGTAGACACATAATAAGTAAAATTCAGGTTTTGTGATCATCAAATATATTAAATGGAGTCCTTGTTAATGTTATTCTGAAATTAAAGAACTTTTCTGTTAACACCCAGCTTACTCTCACCCCCATCTCTTCATCTGAATATTAATGAAGGCTTGATCCCCTTTAGGGACACCAATAATAATATAACACATGCACACACACACACAGCCTTCTAAGCTTAGCCTTTTGCCAGCTGTCACCTTTCAGTTTCTATTTCTATTTCTGTCTCTCTCTCTGTCTGTTTTCTCCTCTTTCTGTCACCCCATCTGTCTCAGTGACTCTCTTTCTATTTTCTCCATCTTTCTCCTTAAGCCTTTCTCTGTTTGTCTTAAATTTTCCTCTTTGTTCTCTCTCTGACCTTTCTCTGTCTACAGTGCATCGCACTCTAACTAATCCAGTATATCTTTCCTTTTTGTTCTGCTTTTTTAAAATTAACAATTGCAAAATGGAGCAAAAACAAGGGGAGGGAAAGTGATAAAACAAATGAGTTTAAAACAAGGCTGTGTTAAGAGGTAACTTCAGGTTAAAGAATTATTAGTTGGATAGTTACATTTTGAAAAAAAAAAAATCAAAAATGTATTTAATTTAGTTGCAATTTGAAGCTCTTTTGAAGATTTGTGTCTCTCTCTCTACCAACACCATTCCCAGACACATGAAAAGGTGTGTGTTTGTGTGTACCTGTTCCCGCTGGAAGATGTCTCGGAGGTGTTCGAGCCCCAGGCTCTTTAAGAACTGGTTGATAGTCATGTCAAGGAGAGCTGCAGAGACACAGTAATGCCAGCAGTTATCAGAGGATGCCCAGCTGTTACACATGTTCACATTCACAACATCCGTGACATCTTAGTAGGACTTTCCTCATTTCAAAAGAATCAGCTCCTGATTTAGGACTCAGTGTGTGTGTGTGTGTGTGTGTGTGTGTGTAAACATACTTTCCCCTTCCTTTCTGTCGGACCCGGATGCTCCGTCAGCGGTTCCAGTGGCCCCGCCCACTGTGATGTCACTGAGGGGTGTGGTCAGGTTGTCTATGCTGCTGGCTGCAGACAGGCAGGAGGGGGATGGAGAGGGAGAGATGACCACGCCCCCTGCTGCACCTGCACCAACCACAGTCGCACTCACCTGAAGGTGGGAGAGAGAAGATTTTGTTTAAAGAGCCAATAAGTCAAATTTTATTGTTAACTACTTTTTACTTTGCTTTTTTACAGTGTGCACACTTCAACTATCTCAACACCTTCAACTGATGATTTCATCTGCTCTTCACTGTTTTACAGTTTAGCCGACATTTCAACTTTTATTTCTAACTGTCCAAATATCAGAGGTTCAACTGCCGCATCTTTTGCACTTTGAGGATTCAAGTCAGCTGGTACTTCAGTTGCTTTCATCTCTTACACTTCAGCAGAAACGTCAAATGCTTTCAGTTTCAGTTCACTGAATACTCTCACACTAAATGTATTGTTGGTTTTTTTCTAGCTGCAATCACAGAATATGTCCACCACAGGACATGTTTCAGCTGAACACGCTCTGTCACTGCAGTACTTGTATTAAAGAGTGAGGATTACTTACCACAGTGGCCTGTGGTTTTAAACAGCTTGGCAGGGCATCTGGTGGCATGGCGTCAATCAGCAGTGCTCTGATATCATCAGCCTGCAACAGACAAAGAGACAGACAGAAATTCAGAGATTCCACCTAAAACTACCAACTCACTATTTGCTTGTACTTTTTCATACAGTATTATTCCACACATAAAGTCAGCGTCTGAAGTGACTAGTAGATTTTTACAGTAGATCACGCAGAAAGTCAGCTGCCACGTTTGATAATAGCTTATTTAGACAAAAGCAAATGAATGGGTTACAGAAGTACTTCTGTCTTCTGTCTTCGCTCTTTTTTTCCATTTTAAATACTACCATGCTCTCAGTAGAAACAAAGCATCGCCTCATATGTGTTGCCATTTCTAAGTAATCAAACCAGGATGCAAGAGGCTTGCTTTTTGCTGGTTTAGAAGTTAACCATTCAGTGGCTCCTCAGGCCAAGCAGGACAGCGTAAATAACAGCCAACGTGAGGAAGAAATCTCATCCTAAATGAGTGGCGGGTACAGGTTCCTGCTTTGAGAACTTTTACATCTGCATCAGGGAAGAGAGCCTTGAAGAGGTTAATGCTTGCTCTATAAACTCGAGGCACTGTCTCATTCAGTTTCATGTTATCCAAAGACTCCACTATTTAAAATCAAAGCTCCATTAAGATGTTTCCAGATATACCCTCACAGTGTGACAAAAGCAACATGACAGAGGCAAATCTCCTCCATAGCCTCGCTCTCTGTCCCAGGTTAAAGAAGATTCCGGACAAGATCTCTAACGTTCTTACGATCCACATTGAACCTGATCCTGTGTTAATCGTGCTGGGAGCTTCAGATTCCACATCTGTATTGAGAAGAGCACAAAGGCAGCTTCTTTCCAATGGTTAGATTACGGCCAGAAAAAATTGATTCTGACGTTTTGGAGCGGAGTGTCACATTTTAACAGGACCTGGCGGCCCCTCGTCTGTTACCTAAAAAACAACCCATGGTGGATATTCCTTGTCCATCATTATTTCTCACCTCTTCTTCTTATTTTCCATTGCAACCTTTACTGTCATATACAAATGTACTGAGCAGAAGGAAGGGAGGGAGGGTTTATTAAGAGTATATTTTCTTTGTAGACTGTGTTTTCCTGTCCTACATCATGAAATCTTTTTTTCATTCAATAAAACATACTTGACAAGAAGCGAATGATATCCCATGTGAATGAGGCCCAATACTGTGAATGATTTCTGAGAAAGCCTTGCATACCGTTGCCAAGTCCAGCGGCGTCTGTCCCTCCTGGTTCTTCATAGTTGGATCGGCTCCATGGGCCAGTAGCAGGGCGCAGAGCTGAGTCCGCCCCTTCTGGGCCGCTTCGTGAAGGGGGGTAAACGCCCACTTGTCTGTGGCGTTGACGCATGTGTTGTACTTGATCAGCAGGGCGGCTATGTCCACGTGCTGGGCACAGGAGAGGAGGTAGCCATGAACAAGAGGAAGAGTGTGGAGGTGGTGATGACCCACACAGAGAGGAGAGGGAGAAAGAGGAGAGATGGGAGAGAAAAGCAGAAGACAGATAAGAGTTGAAGAAAACGAGAGCAGACAGAAGAGAAAGTAGTGAGAGGACGGAAAAAAGACAACAGTTATAAAAGCATTTAACGAGAGCAAATGTGTGAAGGGTGGTGAATTGGTGCTGTAAAAATCGTGATCAGAAAAAATTTAATATGTTAGATTCTCTGGAACAGAAATTGTGAATTATTAACTTTTCCCGCCGGTCCTTCCTTTCTTTCCTCTCTTTCCTCTCCTTTTCTCTCATTGTCTCCAGCTCCCGTCTTAGCATCAAACACAATGTAGCTTGTTCCTGGGTAACAGTGGGAGATGCTACTGTGTGTGTGTGTGTGTGTGTGTCACAATATGTTTGTGTGTCCCCAAAATACAGAGCACTTCAAGTTTTCATTCAAACATGTGTTTGACTCTGACAGTAGCAGAATGCTGTCTAGCTATAAGTAGCGTGACTCTACCACAACGAGGGACTCCAGATGAAGGAAGAATCCCATGCATGCACTGCTTCAGAGATGTGAAATAGTATTGATAACAGTGATCATTTCACAGGGGAAATAGAGTAGAAATAAAAAAAGGTCCTTACAGTCCCTTATCAGATATCTGCAGCCGTTTAGTGGGCTGTGAAAAGCAAAAAGCTGCATAGCGTCGCAGTTTTTGAAATCCCATCGTGAATATGTGGATCTAAGCTACAAAATAAAATGGATCTAAGCTACAAAATACATACCACATGTGATATGGACTTAAAGGCTCAAATAAGAATTTATTAAGAATGCCTTTACAACTAATGACCTTCATGATATTCACTTTAGCACGAACAACAATAAGATAAAACAACTGAAAGGTAGTCAAATAGTCAGTTGTATCTTACCAAAAGGTATTCACTCATTCATTCATTTATAATTCAGAGAAAAGCAACAAATGCTCACTGAAAAGCTGGAAGCAGGGCATTAACTGATTAATGATGAATTGAGAATTAAGCCAATTAATGACTAATTATATCAATGTTACATTAAGTTAAAGAGATACTGAGTTCATACTTTTTAGGAGTTGCAAGAACACCTCTGAACTGAACTCAAGTCTGCAGTGTGTGTGTGTGTTTGTGTGTGTGTGTGTGTGTGTGTGTGTACGTCTTACCCCGTATGAAGCAGCATTGTGTAAAGGTATAAGCCCTCCTTTGTCCTGCGCATTCACATCGGCTCCATGTTCCAACAGATACTCTGCTACCTCCAAATTGTTATAGCCAGCTGGAGAGAGGGGTGGGGGTTGGGTTGTATGGAAAACACAGCAGGACAGAAAGAAAGAATGGAGGAGAGAGAGAGTCCGATACATAGAGGAAAAGAGGAGAAACAAAAATGTAGTCCAGTAATGAAAGAGAAGGGACGAAAGAGAAAGAAACAAGAGACATGTCAGCTGCAGCGTGACAGCATATTATCATCTTTTCCTTTTACAAGCAAGTACATCCAGGCAGAGGGTGTGTGGGTGTGTGTCTAAGTGGTCAGATCTATGAATATATATATATATCACACAGACCTTCAAAGTGTCAAAGTGTTTTCCAGCAATTTCATAACTTTAAAAGTGCCAGTCTTCAAAACATTTTTTAATTGAGATATACTGTACACAATTATCATACAAAAGCCCAGTCTGCTCAAGAAATTATCTATAAATACAGAGTCTAAAAACGCACACAAGTGGATGAAGGCAAATCAGTTTTTCCCATCAGAAAAGGATGGAGAAGATGCTGCAGGAAAACAGGTAAAAATACAAAAAAAGTAACAAGTTGTCACAGAATCTTTCTGTGGTGCACAAATGTAATCTTCACATTATTTATGTCATCAAAAATCTTGACAGAAATTACAACAAAAGCTAGTTATATGTAAATATAAAATTCTTTCTGTATGATTTGAAGGTCTAAGTGGTTGAATTATGTTAATGTGAACACGTATAAACGCTGCCACACTTTCCATTTTCGTATTTGTTCCCCTTCGTGTTTTGTGTATTTTTTATCCGCAATTGTATCAGCACAGTATTTGTGAATCTCAATATGGATTTGTGTGTGCTGTGAGCTGCTACAGCAGAATGATGTGTCTCTTGTTATCTCTGAGGCTGATGTTATCCTGATTACAGATATGGAATAAATACATGAGCTCGTGTGTGTGTGTGTGTGTGTGTGTGTGTGTGTGTGTGTGTGTGTGTGTGTCTGTGTGTCTGTGTGTGTGTACTTTGATGACATATTTTCTATGCTATCAGGATTTAAAAACTGCATGAAGTTTTTGAGAGATCCAAGGTGATTTTAGTGGTAATGTAGTGTGATCATAATATAATAATTGTGACAATACAGTCTTTTAATTTGGTAAATTATGACATAGTTATAGATGATAAATGTTCTCATCTAAATCTCAGCAAAGAGGCGGATATATGTGATTATTTACATGAATTTTACACCACTCCACCAAACATCTTTCAGCATTACAGTCCAGTCACAACTGAGTCATCTATCATTCAAAATAAAGGTCAGTGCATTGAGAGTGGGACGGATGCACAGCACTTATCACCCTTGTGCTTGCCTTCCTTCACAGCCTCCCTATGCTTTTAAGAATTGATTTTTAGATGGTGCTGATAAACTTTTATGGCACTGCAATGTGAGACCCCAGTTATATTTTCAACTGGTTGATCCCCTATGAGGCACAACAAACACCGAGATGCTCAGGTAAGGGTCTCCCAGGGGGTCCTGTTCCCAGTACGTGCTATATTACCAAGGGCCTTTCACTCTGGGCCCCTTCAGCTGTTGAGCTCTATTGTGTGTTTTTATTTTTTATTTTAATTGACTCCCTTTTTAAAAACATATATTCCTTGTCCATTATTATTTTTCACCTTGTGTTCCATCGCAACCTTCACCATAATATACAATGTCCTGAGCTGAGGGGAGGGAGGGAGGGAGGGTTTATTAAGAGTGTATTTTCTTTTGTTAGTGTTTATGTTGGACATTATTTGTTGTATTCTCTGAATGAAGATGTAGACTGCGTTTTCCTGTCCTATATCATGCAAATTTTTTCACTCAATAAAACATACTTGACAAAAACCACAAAAAATGTTTTTTTATTTTGTTACTATTCTTCTGCCTTGTTACCTCATTATCTTCTCTGATTCACTTTGTTGTTTTTACTGTAAATCAAAAAGCGCGACTCTATGGCACTGTTACTATGTCAACAATTAATCATAACCTGGCCTGGTGGTGACATGAAGAAGTTCATATTCCACAATGATATCAAAACTGGAGTGCGGTGGTGCACCTGTGAACTGAAAGTGTTGTATCAGCCCAGCCACCCAAGTGATCAGATAAGTGATCTGAGTGCTAATCCTTCTGCATGTGATTATGAAAAATGGTGTCATCAAAAATTATTGATAAATTGCTGTCGCCCCAACCTGCCTGTCTACGAACAGTGTTTTTGCCCTCAAGACTTTACTAGCTGTCTGGTGTTAATTGCCTCGCTCTTGGCACCGCTCTGAGCTAAAATCCCAAGAGGTTGGCTTTTAGTGAGATACTGGAGCCGGAGTGATTGGCACCAGCAAATATACCATGTGCAAAGTCACTTAAATCCTACAAACTTCAGCCAAACAGCAAGTAAAAACCTCTGGCTTTAATGTGTCTGCAAAGTGAGCTTTACATATTCAGGGCTTGCATTTATTAAGATGAGCTGTGACTGTGTGTTGGTGTGCGCAGCTTTGTGTTTTGTGTTTCTCCATGCATATTTACCTGCCAGGTGCAGCGGGGTGGAGTTGCGTCCCTGCGTATCCCGACAGTTGATGTTGTCGGGGCTGCATAACTTCTGCACCCTGGCCAGGCAGCCTTTCTTAGCAGCGTCCAGCAGTGCAGCATCTCCTCTCAGCAGGTCCTGGATATCGGTGTCGCCATCCTTCACCAGGTCCAGAGGCGTGTTCCCGTCTCGGTTCTTCTTGGTGGGGTCCGCTCCGTGCTGCAGAGAGGACGCAAGCATGGAGGAGGTTGGTGTAAAGGACGGACCGACGGAGAGACAAGCAGATGTGCACGCTAACATCTAAGGTTTATCCATCTTAAAAGTTCTTTTTAGTGAAATGCCGAGCCAAAAGACAACGATTTGAGGACACTGACTGTCAGAGCAAAACATTAGCTGTGATTAACATAAATCTAAAAAATATCAGTCCTCGAAATCCCTCATCGTTCCAACCCCGTTGGCGGAGTTTCAAGTGACGAGTGAGAACAGGATGAAGGTAATTCACCAGAGAGAAGAAGAGAGGGAGAGACGAAGGGAAGTAGAGAGGTGAGGACAGGACATCCAGTGAAGTAGAAAACACCACACACTCAGGAGACTGGAGAGTGGCAAGTAGACATTTTCATCACTCAATGGTCTCCTAGGTTACGGTTTAACTTGTCATTTCATTGTAAGTTTTGAAATCCGCTCATTAAAATTGGATGTTGTGGGACCACTCCCCTGGGTATCCACTGCTGGCCTGGAAATGTCCGTCTCTTATGGCAGTATGGATAGTTTTTTAAAAATTTTTTCTAACCTATCTGTGTTACATTTTTCTGTCCTACTTCTCCGTATCTGTTATCCCCTTGCCGCTGTTGTAATCACATTCTCGCTGTAATTTATTCACTATCCAGGAAAATTAGAATAGAAATAATTGGGGACATTTACATATAAATAAATGTCAGTTTTGTTACTCCTTCATTGAATTCAGCCTATATTCAGTTCCTGAAAGATTTGTAGTAGTCAAGGATAAGAGGAGCTGGGTATTCATCCTGAACAGTGACACCATGACGGAGGAAGAAAAAAAAAGAAAAAAAAAAAAGCCCCTCAGAGAAACTCCGAACAAGAAGATGCTGCTTGACTGACAGTCGGTTTCTTGCAAGACGATGACACGATCACTCCCCAGACCTCCAGCCAACATCGTAAGTCATTCTGAGTTCACACATTTCATGGCAAGTGCTAATGAGGCAGATTCTTCTTTAATTGAGGAGAAAGTCATTATGTTCTCGCACTTCTTCCCTGACAAAGAACATGCTAATATGCATTTTGTATTTCTCACTACATCCTTACAGAATATCAGAGTACTGCGAGAAAAAGCAGCAGAGTTTTATTCTGAGGACAAACCCAACACAAAAAAGGGACAATGGGAAGTTGATAACAAACAGAGGAGACAAAGGAAAACCTACTGCTGAACTCTGGAGTAGATTATTCAAAAAGAGGGAACAGTTACTTCCAGAGGCCATGGCAGATTAACACCAAAGTGTGGGAACACTCTGTTACTTGTGTGTGCCTGTGTACTTATGTGTTAAAGGGTGAAATGAAGGCGCTGCCGTGTGTTACAGAAGAATCGCAAACACAAGCCTAAAATCCAACCGAAATCTGCCAGTACGACATTTTTCAAACAAGCAGAGTAAAAAAAAAAAAAAAATCCACCCTGGACAATTGATCATCTGTCTGTGTTTCTAACCTCTGCCTCCAGTCCTCTTATTGCAAGAGCCGAACCAACCGTCAGATCAGTGAGTGTGGCCTCAGGGAGCCACTGTTTCACTGAACTCAAGGACTGTTTCTGAGAGCACTGACTGGGATTTATCTGCACACGGCCACACACGGCTCACACACGTTTGTTGCATATGGAACCTACGTAACCTCTCTTATTATAAACACCCACTAAGTTGTTCTAGCCTTATGTCGGATGTACACAAACAAAGGTGTTAGGAACTACAGATGGGTGACAAATGAAAGGGAGAACTCTACTGCAGGGATGATTCTTCCAAATGATTTTCCCCCATGACAGTGGTCCAAAACCTCCTACAGATGATCATTCACGAGATATTTACATTCGTCAAACCATTCAGTGATCCCAAACCCTCTGTTGCTCCACTCGTTCATTCCGGTGTTTCCTTCATGTGTAACTCACATCCACTGCCAAAAACTGTCAACTATCAATACTCTGGACAACTGTTGTGATGTGGCACTCACCCCCTTACGGTCACAAAGCGTTTCAAGAATCCACCCTCTTTCCTTGGCTTTGAATCAATATCAGTTTGCCTATGGGGAGGTCAGGTCCATGGAATGCAGCATTTCACCTGCCTTTCTCACATACTGTGTAATAGAGTGTTGAATAATAGATTTGACCTCATATTCTTAGCAAGACAGTCTCCATATTCTGGGCTTCACACAGCACTGGTGTGTACATGGATTTTTGGACTTTTAAAAACAGGCAGACCACAGAGAGACAGTCCACTCCTTCTCCTCTACAACTAGTAACAGCAGAGAACCACAGGGCTCAATTGTTTTTCCATGAACTAGTTGTTTTGTCCAAAAAGATGTAATAAAATAGTCCATTCCAATTTCCCTTAGCCGGAAATGACATTCTTTAATTGCTTATTTTGTCTGACCAATAGCACCAAACCCCCCAGATATTTAATTAACAGCAACAAAACAGAGAGAAGCAGGACATTCTCACATATGCGATGCGGGAACCAGCAAATGTTTGGCATTTTATGCACAATAAATGACTGGAACAATTAACTGTTATCAGAGTTGTCAGTTTATTCAGCACTAAATCACTGGTACTTCCAGCATTACAACATTATTTACAGCACTCGCTGCCTCTGGGAAATCACTCATGCCACACCAGCCAGTGCATGTTTGTTCCCCAGCTCTCTGTAGAGTGATACAGAACCCAGTCAGACAGAGAAACAGCCTTTTCCCCAGAGCTGTCACCTTCCTCAACACTGCCCACCCCCCTGCTGCCCACTCCCTGTCATCCAAGCCACTCCACTGCACCATACATACACATAACACATGACAACAACACACCATCCAACACCCACCACCACACACACACACACACACACACACACACACACACACACACACACACACACACACACACACTGCATCATCACTGTTTACTTTGTTTATCGCCGGCTCTGCGCTATTACAGTTAGTATCAAAGTGATAACTGCTGTGAACTGTTGCGTGCAGTGCTGTTTTTTCACTACCTTGCCAGTCTGACCTTGTCAGTCTCACAGTAAGTTCTCTGGTTGCACTACCTCACTGCTGTTTTCTTCATTGTTTCATATGCTGCTCTACACTCGCATGACAGTTCACTCAGCTCTGTTTATTGCAAAATTTAACTGACAGCGAGCCATAACCTTTACCCCTCTCTGTTTCCTGGCGCAAACCACTTTTTGCAGTGTTTTTTTTATCTCATCTTTTATTATATTTTGATTTTGTAAGTATTTAAAGTTTCATTATTATGTAGTTATGTTTGTTTGGCTTGCTGTGTGCGTTTCTGTGTTTGTGTCCTGTGTGAATTCAGCAGTGTCGATCTAATATTAATTTATGCAGCCCCATATGGCAACAACACAGTGGTGATGTAACCTTGTCTGGAGGTGTTTATGATTGGAAAAACAAAAACACATTCAGCTGTGAAACTGCAACATTTCACAGGACTCATTTAGACTCAAAGAGATGTGACGAACAGGTATTACACAACAGATATTTTCGGCCCTGTAATCTGATTGGTCGGAGTTTATCCCAGACTGTGCTGAAAACTCGCAGAGAGCACGACAAGTCATACCTTTGACTGGTTACTCTCTTCTGATTGGCTAATGAAATTATTCTGATGGAAGTTACTTCAGAGAAAATGCTTCAGTGTTTCACATTTAATTATCTAACTCCAGTTGACAACTCCAGCCCATACTGTTGACTTGTTCACACCGAGTAACACTCGTTATTCGCAGAACAAACAGGGAGCCAGATGTCATTTATTGCATTAGTAACAACAACACTGTGATAGCAGCTTTTGCATTAAAAGGCAGGAAAGATTTAAGTTTCTCTGAGACTGTGTGGTGTCTTGTAAATATTGTTCTCTGAAACAGTGTGTGGAAGAGGATAAAGGGTACGTTTACAGAAAGCTTTAAAGCTGCACTAAGTAGTGAAATTTAAATGTTTGTATCCAATATACCAAGAAGTCACTTCAAGATGGCTGCAAACAGCTTGCTCGTGTTTGCAAGTGTATTGTAGAAACTGTATTTGAGCGAGAGTTGATTCCCACTCCATGCTTAAACACAAATGCAATTAGGGCTGCAATTTCAGATCATTCTCATTGTCAATAAATCTGCCAATTATTTTCTTGATTAATCGTTTATTCTAAAAAACAGTGGAAAAAAAAAAGTCTTCAGAAAACTTATCCAACTAACAGCCCTAAACTCAAAGTTATTCATTTTACCAGCACAAGACGAGGAAAATGCAAATATTTGGCATTTCTCTTGAAAAGGGATTCAAGATGATTAAACGTTTATCAAAAGTAATCAGTGATTAAATGACTAGTTGATTACTGAACTGTTTCAAGTAAGTTATTTTTAAGAAGGGACAATGCAGGTCTAACCTTGAGCAGCAGTTTGCAGATCTCATATTTGCCCTTGGCAGCAGCTTCATGGAGCGGCGTGAACTTCCACAAGTCGGCCACATTGACTGAGGCTCCGTGTCTGACCAGCAGCTCGGCCACCTCGTAGTGACCGTACGAACAGGCGTTATGGAGGGGAACCAGACCGCTGCAAAGAGAATAGTACAGTTATACACACACACACAAACACACTGAATGTTTTCAGAAATTAAATTTATCTTCCGTAACGTTTCTGTGGCTTTCTCAAACCAAAAAATGGTTCAAAAGCAGTCTGTACTCATTTTTCTACTATTAATTTTTATGTTGCCCCAAATGTAACCACAACTTTATGTGTCGCACCCTTTGTCCTTGGCGTGCACGTCGGCCCCGTGGTGCAGGAGGTACTCCACCACTGACACTCTGTTGTAGCCAGCAGCAAAGTGAAGAGGCGTGGAGTGTCGTCCCTCCAGATCTCTGCAATTCACATTCTGAGCCGTACACAGTGACTGAAGAGAGAGAGAGAGAGAGAGAGAGAAAAATGAAAATATGTTTTCAACTTAAACTGACTGATCAAAGAGGCGTGAAGAAATAAATCTATGGTCTACAGCAGTATAACATGTCATGTAGCAGTTGCAGTCAAGATATATGTTGATTATTCTTTATATTATTTAGCTGTGCGAAGCCAAATTGCACCTGAGGAAAGTTTTGATTTAAAATGGTGCAACAACATCTTTTTCCTTCTAAAGATGATCAGTTGTGATGAATAATCAAGATCTCAAAATGGAAAGATGTGAAAAAGTGACAGAAAAACAGCCTTTTCTCTGATAATTGGGGGAAAGTTGTTTGTAATTCAAAATTTACAAGTATGAACCGTGCACATTCCTCTGTTCTGCCTTCAGTTTTGAAGCTTCAGTCTTGTTTTTCTGTTTTCGTTCTTTGCCGGTGTCACTCTTATCACACTTATTACAACATTTTGTGTCATTTTCTCATCATGTTAATTACTTGACATTTACCTTGAGAGAATTTACGTTACAGCTGATTCCATTCTGTTTTTTTAGCCACTCTCCAGCTAGAGCAGTCTAGCTCTCTGGATGATAACGCTGCTCTGTCAGTTTGTTGGTTGTTCCAACACTTTGGTCCAGATGGAAATATCTCAACATCATTTTTTAGTTTTTAGTGCCTCCACAACTACTGGATGGATTGGCATGAAAATTGTTTCAGACATTCGTGCCCCCCCTCAGGGTGAATTGTAATAACTATGGTGATTCTGCCTTTTCATTTTGTGCATTTATAAGGTCAACCCTTTTTTGTTTATGATAAAATACTTAAAATAATGCCTCAGCTGTACTTTGTGTTGACTGGCAAATGTTAGCATGCTAACATGCTAAGCTAAGATAGTGAACATGATAAACATTATACATTATATAAACAGCAGCCATTGGTATTGCCATTATGAGCATGTTGACATTAGCATTTAAATTAAAGCACTGCTGTGTGTAATAACAGCCCTACTGTATTATGTTTTGTGTTGTGACATATGAAATGTGAATAATTGACAGTCAGAGCACAACTATAAGGAACACAACCTCATATGGTGCCCTGCAAGTGACGAAATGTAAATACCCTTTTTTGGCAAAGTGTTTGAGAATGAAGCTTTTTAGGCTTCATAGCTTAAATGTGTTCTCATTAATACCAATAATATCAGGCGGGAGATATTACAGTCATTTTGTAGAGTAGTCTAATGGGTTCTTTAAATCTGCTTTAGCTGATGCACACATTTATTTACGTCGTTAACAACATTAAACAAGACAGACAGCACTTCAGAGACGGCAAGAGACAGGAACAGAGACACACCTATTCCTCTGCCCATCCGTCATGATTTATGATGAAAAATGTGGCTGTGATATGAAATATGTGGAAGTAAGGGTTTTAGGGAACAACAGCAACAATATTGAAGCTATTAACTGAAGCTGTAAAAAAAAAAAATGTACGTCTGCTGAACTGAGGCTGACACCTGCTGCCCTGCTATTCACACAAAATAACAGCGTTACTCTTCTGTCATTTCAGACCCAATTACACTTTAGCTCAGTACTGCAAGGAAACAGAGGGAAATTTATTTTAAAGTTCCCTTCTACCACTCTCTAGGATTCTATTCTACTGGAAGTAAAATGAAACATCCTCCTGGCAGACTCATTCGTCAATCTAAAGCCATTATCTCTCACTTCAGCTGATATTTATGAAAGCCTTTAAAACTGTTGTCTGCGCCAAGGTGAGTTGGTGGATATGGAAACACTTGCTGGTTCCAGCTTCTCAGAAGTGAGGATTTAATGGTTTTCCTTGTCATACATGCTAATAAACAGAATATCTTTGGGTTCTCGAGTGTCGGTTACACAAAACAAGACATTTGAAGACATCAGCTTGGGCTGTGGGAGATTATCACATGTATTCTTCTTTTCTGACATTTTATGGACAAACCTAATAAACAAGGACGTAATTGGCAGATGAATCGATAGTACCAGTGGTTAGTCGCAGCCCTGAAACTGGGGCGACTGTTCACCTTTCGGCATTTCATCAATGACCCGAAGCAAACAGCCAAGATAACGCTGGAGTGACTTAGTGAAAATCTCTGAATGTCCTTGAGTGGCCCAGCCAAAGCCCAGATTTAAACCCCACAGAACGTCTGTGGAGAGACCTGAGGGTGGCAGTTCACAGACGCTTCACATCCAACCTGACCGAGCTTGACAGGAACTGGCAGGAAGAATGGGATAAACTGCCCAAATCCAGGTGTGCAAAACTTGTAGAGACTCAACACTAATTGCTGCCAAAGAGGCTTCTACAAAGTACTGAATTAAGGGTCTGAATATTTTTGTAAATCAGAGATTTCAGTTTTTGTATTATTGAGTGTAGACAGAGTTTATCTATTTACAATTAAATCTACAAAATAATCGAGTGCGCAAAAAGTGAGGGGCTCTGAATACTTTCTGAAGCTACTGTACAGTGGCTATTTTGGAGCACTTACTTACAGAGTACATAATGTTTCTGAATGACAGAACTGGTCTCTATCATTGACCCGTCGTGTAGAGTTACCATCTTTGTAAAAGCCACAGTTTGAACCTCCTCAACATTTGAACTGATGATAGGGAACAACCCAGCAATTGTAAAAAAAAAACGTCAATCAGCGCATGTACGTGTATGTGCCTCAGGTGAAAGGAAAAAAAAAAAAAAAAGACTGACAGAAAGCCAGACCAGAGATCATTGTTCTGCCAAGATCCCCTGCCAACCTGCCAAAGCATCACACGTCAGACTCTGACAGATCCTCTTCATCTGGATAACCCCATAACTGCCTGTCTCAGAGGGTAAAGACACACAGAGTTTACCTCGACAGCAAATACTTCTATCAAACACTTTACTGAATGTTACCAGGTCCTGCCATTTAGTGGGTGGCTTTGTCTGTAGCATATTACAGATGCTATTACATCATGAGTGCCTGCATTTTTAACATGAGTGGGCCCAGTGAAAATCAAACTGCGACTAAATCAAACTAACTGTGGCAGAGAGCTGCAGGAGACGACAGTGATTACAGAGTTATGGTAGGAAATCTTGTCAGATGGTAAAATGTGGCCTTTAACAATAACAAAGATTTGCAATTTTTACAAAAATCAATGTGGACAACAATTCCAATACACAAACAGAAAACATTGGATTCACAGCAAACAATATCTATCTGGCATTTAATAAAAATCACTATGACCAGGAGCAGAACAGTCGGAAGAAAGGTCAGGACGTTTTGCTCCATTTTAATTTCAAAATAAAGCGTCTGTGTTACAGGACATCTAATTCTCCCAGAGTGAAATGATCTGAGACATTATTTCAATGAGCCACTGTCAGTTTGACATTAGCCCATCTTTAGTTCATCATTTTCTGTTGTTTATCACTGCTTCACTTATTCATTAACAAACCTCCATAAGTGCTAACTAAACAGTTAGGTTTTTACAGATTTAGGGACAACATATTAAAATGTTTTACTTTTTTAATTCAGACCAATTTTGAATTATTCAGCTGGTCAAGTTTCATACTAATTTTTCTGGACAAGAATCCACATTATTTTCCAAACCGTAATGAGGCAATTAAAAAGATTTCTGCTCCCTCTGAGCAAATTACATCCCACGATTGGTGTCAATACACACATCAAGGCTACTGAGGTCATGTTCTTTTTTCCATGTCCATTTCCAGTTTTCAAATTAAGGACATATCGATTGTTAGGAGAATGAAGACTCTGTTTTCTCCCATTTAACCCTGTAACACAAACCCATCTAAACCAATGCATGAATTTATTTGGACATAAGGAATTATTAAATTGCTGGACTGACAGACCTGTAGAGAGATACAATACAGTTTATCTGGATTATCTTTACCACAATGATTTAATCTAATCTAATCAATACATATTACTTGTTCATATCCATGTAACTAAAAACTACTCAAGCCAGGGAATGTCAACTCCCAGTTACAAGATGTCAAATACAAGCAAATTACCTTGACGGTGTCCAGGTCTCCGGCTTTAGCAGCTTCAAGAAGTCTGTAGTCCACATCGGAGTTTCTCACCGGGACGTTCTCTGCAGAACACAGCACGGAGAAACATGGATTAGAAATACTAAGCACACACACTGGTAAAAGTTACACATGATCGAGAAAGTGAATCTATCCTCCACAAAGACACAGAATTGAAGGGAAAACATGAGTCACGTGCAGTTACATCGGCCATTTTGCAGATAATTGTATATTAAATGTCATCTATGTTTTCACACATGCTTCTTCTTTTTTTTCTTTTTTTTTCTTTCTTTTTTTTTTTAATTGGCCCTTCAGTTATGAATGCTTTGCATTAATTTCATCCAGTATCACAGAGCTGGAGAACATGTCTTAAAATCTATATCAAGATAAATTATCTCATTGGCCTCACTTGCAATAAGTATCACAATAATTATTTTTATATGTTACTGCATGTATTTCCTTATTAATTATTTTTCGATATGTCTGCCATGTTTAATTAGAGTATGACCAGTCAAAGATACTGGCATGTTTGTTGGTTAGTTGGTTGAACTGCAGGTTGTGACACTATGGTCTGTTTATAGGCATTTATTGAAAGCTGAAATAAGCACGTTCATGTCAGTAAATACTGATCATTTAAGAAGGTAATTTGATAATTCTGGTCTGCTGGTCCAGTTTTAAAGGTACCCTTGTGAAGTTCTTGACTAATACAGCTACAGAGCAATGTTTTTACTATGAGAGGGTCCCGGGTTTGTTTGGTGTCTGTATGCACATGAGAGCGCACATGCACACTGGTGCACATGCACCTTCAGGTGGCAATAACTCACAGAGAAACCCAGCAAAAAGGAAAGGGAAAAGGCGGGGAAGTAGATGTAAACGATCTAGGTTTCTGAAATGTTAGAAAAATCTTGTTTAGAAAACGTTTCATGAGGAAGTAAATTTTTTCCAACACATTTGTTGGACCTGAAGGTTACACAATGAATGTGTTTTGGTGAGAAACACTGAATGTAAACACAATTTTTCTTTGTTCACTGGCCACATTTAATCTGGTCCTACTGCAGCAATGTACTGTGGAGTTTCCTCTACCACTGAACAGCACACTCTGTCTCATAAAACTATTTACCTATCTGCACCTTCAGTCTGAAAATATCAATATTGACCTTTACAAAACAATCCCAGTTAATCTCACTGTTGCCAGCTAGTGCATAGCAACTAAAACACAGCACCTACACATCTGCACACCCAGCCACCCACCCACTCAGTCACCCACCCACCCACTCAGTCACACACACAAAGGGTGGTATACCGTTGAGTATTTGCTGAACAGCTTCATTTCCCATTTGAGCAGCAGTAAAGCCCTGCAGTGACACCAGCGAGGCGTCTGCCCCGTATCCTAGCAACAACCTGCAAGTCTGCAGATGGCCTGCCAGCGCAGCGCGGTGCAATGCCGTCTGACCCAGAGTGTCCAGTGCGTTCACCTGCAAACACAAATACCTTTGTTTCATGATTCTTGAAGGACCTTCAGTTACTACATTTGTTCCCTAAACTTCTTCACCTCTTAAAAAAAAAAAAAAAACATCGGAAACTTTAAAATCAGTTATTATCTTAGCAGTCTGTGATGAATTATTATTGATGAAATGTTGTAATTTTCTTTTCTGGTGAGCCCACTTTCCCGCAAATAGCCTCATCTACAGTACGTCTGCTTCAGGTGAGACATTCATTTTGTCATCATGTAATTATAAGTTTCCATCTGGATGAAGTTTTGATCTGAGACACTGATCATTAAAGAAACCACTGTGGTCTTCCTTATACTTTCAAGTCTTTCAATATATTTAAATATATGAATAAACATGTCTGGGGATTAAAATATGTGTGTAAACCTTGTTTCTAACCAAAAAAACTAAACAAAAAACATTTAATTCCCAGAATGCTGTGTGACAGCCTCAGTACAAATGTATAACAAAAAGCTTCACAATGATCCTGGTAGATGTTGTTTATTCTTAAATACTGTAAATTGTTATATGTGGTGATTACATTACACATGGTTAAGTTTCATCATTCTGTTAGGTATTATGTTTGAAATTATTCTATCACAGTATATGAAATTTTATACTGTAATATCACTGTACTGTATATCATGATGCAATAAATCTTAGGGAAAATAAATTGAGAAACTGGTTATGAGTAAAATAACCAGAGAGGAATGTCTGTTACTTTATAAATCCAGGTTATTAATCATATTTGACACTTCTTTCGCTGAAAACTCATAGTTGTGTTGCTTCGCTTAATTCTGGTCTACTTCCTGTTAATGTGTAACAATCAGTGCTCCTTCTACTGTGAGTTGCTGTTGAATATCAGGCCAACATGGCCGCTATAAAAATAAACCCTGACTCCTTAACGCTGAGGGTCTCACAAAAAACCTACAGCAGTTACATTACATAGGTATGAGAGAGATGCAATGACAAAATACAAACATCTGCAATATTGATATATGTAAGTGTAGGGACCCAGATGAATGTATAAACAGAAAGGTTTGTGAATGGATATAAAAAGCAGGTTTAAGGATTAAGGTGGAAGTAAAGAGAAAGAGATAGATAAATAGAGGGACAAGACAAAAATGAAGGTAATGACAGATGACAAATGGCTAACGGCGTGTAAAAGTGACTGTGGTTTACCTTGGCACCATGTTTCTGTAGCACCTCCATAATGTCATTATGAGCCCGCTCTGCTGCCACATGGAGAGGAGTCATGAAACTACACAGAGGGAGAGAGAGGAGAGAAGAGCGAGTGCTGGTTTATTTGTGTTGTTTTCGATTTACATGCAGTAAACCAATACAAAAACATGTTTCTTTTATATGCCTTTGTTTTTTCTTTATTTTATGAATAATAAATCAGTCTTCACTTGTATATAATAAATAACGATCTCACTTTGTGAAACAACAGTACTCACTCTTTATTCTTCTCATTGACATTGGCGCCTTTCCTCAACAGCAGCTCCGTCACCTGTTTCCTTTTGGGGTGAGGTGATGCTACTGCACAGTGCTAACACACACACACACACACACACATACACACACAAACAGAAACATCATCTTAGTATCTCTGCGCAAGTGCAGACATCTGTGTGTGTGTGTGTGTGTGTGTGTGTGTGTACACAGTACAATGTTTGTATGTTTATCTTACCAGTGCGGTCTCATGTGTGTGAGGGTGTTTGAAGTTGATGATCTCCAGTGCCAGGGTCTTCTTAGCCTTGGCCATGTCAGCTTCTCGAGCAGCTTGAAGCAGCGAGTGGCCCTTAAACTCATCTGCACACACACATGCACACACACGCACACACACACACACACACACGCACACACACACACATATATAAACTCTTTGGGTTTTTCTTGACAAATCCTACAAACCCAAAAGCTGCAAAAACATTTAAACCCACAGCGGAGCATCTGGTTCTTCAAATGAATGAAAAACTGGACCAAAACAGGAGTTACAAGGTTCTCACTCTACTAAAACAATGTACTCTTTCACTTGCAATGACCCTGCGGCAAACCAGCGCTTCATCGAGATTACTTCAAAGTTTTTACCAGCGAGCTAATAACACATGATGCAACAGTCTGTGTGCTGGAGTTGGAGCGGAAACAAGTGATTATCCTCCAAGGGCTGAAAATTACAAACAACAAACTATTTTGCTTCAGAAGCATTTTCAGCAACATAAAAGGAGTCTGTTCAAGTCTATCTACTGACAGAGCAACAGCATTCATGCATTTATAATCAGACATTTAGACAAATGGTAAGAGCACCACAGATGTCATATCGTCTGGGAAAACGTGGTCGAGAGAGAGAGAAGAGTCAAAATCGATGACATAAAAAAAAAAAGCTGATAAATGAGAAACAGAAGCAGCCTCTGCAGTTTGTCCTATATAAGGAAGTTGAAGTCATTTTTCATCTTTGTTAATGCACCACAGTGGTTAAAAAATGTTTGGGTTGTGACCCCTTTAAATGAAAAAATGTTTACTTGTGATTTCTTATTCGAGGTTAAAGCCTTAGTATAGACACATTTGCTGTTCAACCTAAGAGTTATTTTTCCTTCCAAGGTTCGTTTCATTTGAAGGACTTTCAGAGGCCAGAAGAAGTGAGTATTGAATTTTTCATTAAAAAAAAATTAAAAAAAACAATTCAAGGAAAATGTGAGAAGAAATGGAAAAATAACATAAGAGCTGAATTTCAGCAACTTAAAAAATGCTTGAGGTTCAGTGAACAAGGATCATCCTCACAATGCGCTGTCCAATAGGACTTCTCTGAAAAGTCTCCCTGTCTTTGCATTAAATGACGTCTGAAAAACTACCTGTTTAATATATATCAAGATGCCCGTGTTTTTATTTTGCGACTGTTAATTCAGTCATTTTGAAATGTTTCTTTGTTGCGTAAAAACATACACAAACAAAATGGACCTTTTAAAGGAATATTTGGGAAACACACTTATTTACTTTCTTGTGGAGAACTGAAAATTGATACCACTCTCATATCTGTCAGCTAGAGCCACACACAGTTAGCTTAGCTTAGCTTTGCATAAAGACTGAAGACAGCTAGCCTGGCTGTGTCCAGAGGTAAAAGCCTACCAGCACCTCTGAAGCTCGTTTGTTTAATCCTTACAAAAACCCAAGGGTAAGAACAAAGACTTGTGGTTTTACAGAGAATTATATGCTGGGATATTTCTAAGCAAGCACTTCCTGGCCTTGGAGCTGGTTGCCTGGCAACCTCACAGCAGGAAAGCAAATAATTGTATTTTCTAAAATGTCACACGATCCCTTTAAAAAGCCACTATATTTGGCTCACTCTAATTTCAAGCCCGTTACCTTAACCTTCTTTCACCTTTGTCTTAATCTTCTGGGCAAACTAGACAAGACTGATGATTTTGTGAATCCATTTTCTAGTGTCAACAAAAAAAAAATCTTGTTGTCCACCCCTGTATTCAAGCCAATAGGAGGCTTGATGTAAGGTAAGTATTTTTCAGTCTGTTATAGTCGGTTAACAGTTTCTTCCAGGAAAAGATAAAGTGCAGTGGAGAGAGAGCTGACTCACTAATTAACTTCCAAAGAGTTGCAGAGAGCTTCCTGGCAGAGACAAAGACTTAACTTGTCTGCTTTGACACTGTGGTGGCTGCACACATAAAGAAAATGCTGCTGTTCTGAGAAAGTGAATTTAATTATACTGGCTAATTAACATTTATTCTCTTTAATTAACATATCATACATCCCCAAATGCTCAATTCAAATAATACATGCATGTGGATGTAAGTATGTATGTATGTATGTATGCTTTTGTATATGTGTGACCAATCTTAATAAAAAGCAACAGTGGAGAAGAGCATATCAATACTGCAGATACATTGTGAGATGAACATCCATCTTATGCAACTCGGAATCAACTTGAAATAAGACAGAGGAGGGAGCGCAGTTGCTCAAAAATATTTCAGGTTAAAAGCTCTGAAAAACAGCTTGATCCTCGCACCCTGAAGTGAAGGTGCAGTGCCTCTATGAATGAGCTACTGTAGGAATGGAACCCAAAGGCAGGAGCTATCAATGTGACGAACATGTAGTTGGGTGTGAAAATAATGGATTTGGAATTCCTGATTGACTGAATCCAGACCCCCTTAAAAAATACACCACAAAATATATACATGTAGGTGCATATTTATACATAAACGGTTGATAATTTTGTAGTATTCTTTGTAGTCAATTGTGTTCTACTCCCCTGTCCCTTGAGCAGTTTCAAGTGTGTATATACAGCTCATCTCCCAACATGTGAATGAACTTCTCACATCGTTTAAGTGTACCGGCTGGTTTTCTTTTACCAGTAACTCTGGATAATGACTGTTGCACCATACTGGTCAGATTATAAGACTATATTTGGTTCTAAAAATGACATTTGAAGAAGTAGGGGTTTTATTTGACGACTAGGCATTTATGTATTCTCAACATCAGACAATATAACACAGTCACACTCATGATAGACAGTTTAAAAAAAGAAAAGAAAAAAAAAAGATTAAAATCGATCACTTCAACAGTTCATCAGACTTCACGCAGGCACGAAAGGCTTCATACTACTTTTTTTCACATATGCGGTAGGACTCCTTTAATGTTGCTAGGCTAGAGAGTTTGTTTTGTGGAGTGTCTTTTAGAGCTAAATGAATATAAATGTGAGCATCAGTCAAGACTTCATTTTGTTCTGCTCAGCTATTCAAGCATATAGATCTGCTGGTTATCAGACGCTGGTATCTGTCTCGCTTCACACCGATAATTCCCTGTTTTCTGCTCCAGAAAACAACTGCTCTCTTTTCAGTCTTTTCAGAATGAGATATCCGTTTTTTTTTTTTTAACTGTCTCGATGCTCAATGAATACAAATCAACTGCTCCAAACATGACTGGTGTAAACACACCCCTCTTAAAACAACCTATTCAGGAATTCAGCGCCATGACACATTCAGAAGCGGCGTACACTGCAGCTGCAGTTTATATATGTGCCACACTCACATGTAAGTCTCTCCTTCAGCTCAGGAGTGGGCGCCATGTCCACGGAGCTCTTGCTGTGGCAGTTGAGCAGGGTCGGGTCGGCCCCGTGGCTCAGCAGCAGAGAGCAGACCTCCACTCGGTTTTTAGACGCCGCTTCGTGGAGCGGGGTGAACTGCCACAGATCCATGGCATTAACACACGCTCCGTGCTGAAAGACAAAAGGAAAGAAAGTAACAGGGAGGAAACAAAGCAATTTCTCTTAAACCTATTTTGGATAACTGTGAGGGGAATTAGGCAGCCGCACACTAAAAAACACTGTTAAAGACTGTTTGATATATATCTGCCTTGTTTTTAATGAAATAACAAAAACAACAAAACAGTGGAACTTGTTTCTCTTGGGATTTCCATTTTTGTTATTAGGAAAAAGTATAATCATACTAATTAAGGATTAGTTCCATTGCTTAAGTAAATACTGAGCTAACGTGTGTGTGTGTGTGTGTGTGTGTGTACCTTTAGCAGAAGCTCAGTAACTTCATAGTGTCCATAGGAGCAGGCATTATGTAGAGGCACCAGACCACTGGAAGGACCAAACACAAAAGACATTTTCAATTAACAATAAATATCAATTTTAACCGATGAAGTTCTTTACCTCTCCGCTATATCTGAGTTTTGGAACAAGACTAAAGAGCAGCATGGCTGTACAATGCTACCAGATTGTGTTTAGAAAATTTCATAGCAAACCATCCAATGATTGTTAAAACATTTCACTTAAACCCACAAATGTCAATCACATGGTGACACTAGATGAAATGTCCATGAGTGTATGTTCAGTGTATGTGGTGATCTATCTGTCTGGAAAAAAGTGGTGGTAACGGACCAACTGCACTGAAATGTTACATATTATAATTTTTCCAAGATCAAAATTCAAAAATCTGTTCTCTCTTTTTTCCCATTCTTCATTTAAAATCTCCTTTTTATTTTACTTTTATTAACTTGTACGTACCCTTTGTCCTTGGCGTGGACATCTGCTCCATGCTGTAGTAACAGCTGAACTATCCTCACCCTGTTGTATCCTGCTGCCAGGTGGAGTGGGGTGGACTGCAGAAGAGACACAGAGACATAATAAGAGCAAGAAAAATGAGGCTCAGAGTGGGAACGAAAGAAAAGACAAAAATAAAGTAAATGTTAGCCCACGTGTTCCCTCTACAGTATGACAGCCCATCATCATGATTTCATTATCATCTGTCCTGTATACAAAGAGTGTGTTGAAGAAATACACCTTCGGGTTTTTGCCGAGCAACAGCTATACGAACATTTCTAAAAGGTAAGAATTTCCAGGGAGAAATGAGCTTTTCCACTCCTGAATCAGTCTCCGGTGACACAGCCTGACTATATTTCCTCCATAAAACTGATGAATAGCTGCAGCTCTGAATGCTGTAAGATGTGACTGAGATGAGATGGCTTCAGCTCTCCATGCAGTGTTGCCTCTATATGCTCTCAGCAAAGGCCATTCTTCCTCCAAGCTGGAGTGACACCCCGACTGGGGCAGAAGTGTTACGGCGGCAAGAATGTTCCCATTGTTCAGTCATATTGAACTTGATCAATAGAGAGAGATCAAATAGAGAAAAGAACTGGGATTAAAGCTGCTACATGCAGCAGGTAGATATGAAAGAATGTGACTGAGCTACCGAGAAACTCATTCTGGGGAGTTGCATTAATTAAATGCCTGAAATATATGAGTCCCTTTCACAGATTCCATTAGGGTCATGTACAGTGCAGACCATAAATATTTGGACACATTCTGTTTGAAACAGAATAATGGATACAACATTAAAGTCCCAAGTCTCAGCTTTGATTTGAGTGGTTTACTTCAATATAGAAAGAACTGTGAGAGAGATACAGCCCTTTTAACACATGGTGCCCAAAGCTTAGGGGTTCAAGAGTAAATGGACAGATACACAGCAAGTCAAAAAAAAAAGAAATCATCATATTGATCAATGACTGCCAGACGTCTTCTATCAATGACATCAGCAGACGCTTTGTATCTTTCCTGGTGATGTTTTTGAGGACCTTCACTGCAGCTACTTTCAGCTCTTGCTCATAGTGGGGTCTCTCTGCTGTAAGTCTGGTCTTCAGAAAGTGGAATGCAAGTCAATCAGACTGGGAGATCAAGTGATTTACCCTGAAGAGTTCTTTGGTCGCTGTGGTCGTATGTTTAGGGTCACTGATCTGCTGAATGATGAAATGTTATTTAAGTAATGTCCAATGAGTTTTGATGCATTTGGCTGAATGAATGAATGAATACTCCTGTATTCATCTGCATTCATCCTGTTCCTTCCATCAACAGTGAAATCATCAATAAATGCCAGTGTGCCAGTTCCATTGCCACCCATACTGAGATGTTCCTTTTTTTCCTCCACATGTTCCTCTTTCCGTTATTTTCACAGAGGTCGTTTTTTGTTTCATCAGACGATGCAACTTTGTTCCAGAACTCACTCGCTTTCTTCTCGTATGTTTTTGCAAACTGACACCTAGCCTTTCTATTTTTGAGACTTACCAGTGGTTTGTGTTTTGTGTTGAATACACTGAAGTTACGGTCATGAAGGAAACATGTACGCCTACCTCCTGGAGAGCGTTCTTGACTTGCCGTGCATAAAGGGTGTTTTCCTCACCATGCAAATGATTTTCCAGTCCTCCGTAAAGCTTGTTCTCCAGTCTACCAGCTCATTTGCCATTTTCTAGTTTTCCTTTGAGCACCTGCTTTTTAGATCATACAGCTGTTGACTTTGGCAAACCAGCTACCTTTGATGTCTCACTAATGGATTGATAACTTAAGCAAGTTGCAAATCTATTTACTGCAGATAACACCTGATTTCTGAGCCACAAGGTCCCATTAGGTGATGGCATGGTGGAGCCTGATTGATCAGCTTTTTTCTGAAGAAGGTGCTTCAGTACAACCTGTTCTTCAGGGCCATCACACCCTGGTGATCTGGTGTTGTCACAAAGTGCAAAGATTCCTCCCCATTGAGCACACGGCCATATGGTTTTGTAGTAACGGAGGTGATTCTGCTGACAGCCACATTATGCACTGAAAGAAGAATGGCAAATATTGACCGTGGGACAGCAGCGGGGTGATAATGTTGATGGGACAGTGAAGGGAAGGTGTTCTGACTCCTGTCAGCAGGATTCAGATGTTTAGGTGGTGCAGAGTAGCACAGTTTTTATATCAGCATGATCCATCAAACCAAGTCAAACCCTAAAACACTGATTCAATCTGAGCTGGGCAAGCAAAACTGCCAACAAACAATTTACCAGCATTTTTGGGATGTCAACCGCTAACAATGTTGCCATAAGTATAAACTGAAATAGTGACAACTACAAAAAACAGAAATCAGTGGTGGTGCTACAATGGTTTCAGCATTCAGAAACTGTATAATACAGATAACAGACTACAACCTGCGGTTCGACCACAGCCACTGGCTGCAGTTTAGGGAACACTGGTACTGGTGTTATTGATGTTCTTCTGTTATAAAGCCAGTAATGAGGTCATTCACAGGTCACTTACAGGGGAAAATTTTGTCTTTAAAAAGTCAGACTACAGCATTACTTCACTCAGACTTCAGAGGAGAACTTGAAACACAAATCATCTTTGGTGATCTCTGCTGCTCACTCAGAAGCTCAGCTGAGAGGCGGCGGCGAGACAGAGAGGCAGAGCTGGGTGGACAGATGGTTCACTCGTATTTACAGGATGTGACAGCAGCATTTGCAAGTAGCAGTACATGGTTATTAGTCATCATCCTCATTTTGTATTATGCAGTGTTGTTCTGTGTGTGTGTGTGTGTGTGTGTGTGTGTGTGTGTGTGTGTGTCTGTCTGTCTGTGCCTGTGTACTTGTTATTGCAAATTGTTGCAAATATAAACAAACAAAAAGACACAAATGTGTAAAGCATTAATCAGTACATCTTAAACCCCCTAGCTACCACTGAGTCATCACTTATGCCTCACTCACTCACTCATTCACTCTCTCACTCTCTCACACACACACACACACACACACACACACACACACACACACACACACACACACACACAGACACACACACACACAGACACACAGACACACAGACACACACGTGCATGTGCTGTTGCATCATCAAGATGTTGTTGCCAGGGTCAGACTGGGTAGTTTAAGCTCCACCCCTTCAATCTGTCAACACTGTGTGAGGAACGGGTATATGCATAATTGTGATATGTGTGTGTGTGTGTGTGTGTGTGTGAGATAGAGAGTGTGAGAGAGAAAGAAACACCACTGTCACACATAAACATCATCACTGCCTCAGAAGGTCTTGTATTGGATTCTCCACTCAGAAGCTTATTTAGAGTCAAGTTATAAAAAAGCAGCTCCAGCTGAAACTTTTTATGATGGTCCGCTGACCTCTGTAGCCACGAGCCAGTAGTGCTAAGTATCAAAAGCATCAACCATTTATCATCTATCTGACCCATCCTACATCCTCTGTCAACATCAACTATTTTCCACTGCAGCCTGTTCTTTTTCTAGTGCTCTGAACTGCCATTTTATGAAAGAAAGATTTATTTTAGTATTTTTTTACTACATGCTACAGGCCTTATAATAAGTTTTTTTAATGAATGATCTTTAAATAAAGACAACAGTGCAGTGAACTAAAATGTTTTGCCCCTGTCTTTATATAAGCACAATATTTCTGCCGGTTCCAAAACTGTGAGTGAAGTGAAGGTCATATTAGGTTGTTTACACAATTGCCTGAAATGACAATTCCCCAGTGTATTCTGGCTTACACAAGTGAAGTGTGTACTTAAGATACAGAGAGATGTGGGGATGAGAGTATTTAGTGTAAAACACTCTACAACACTTTAAATCTTGGGCTGAGTTTCACTGTCTATTTATTTGCTTATGGCACTGTCAGTACATGTTTTAGCTATGCATCCCATATATTGTTATTCCCAGGATAAGTTCAGCTACTTAGAAATAGCCTAACATCATGTTGCATGTGAGTCATACCAGAGACGTCATAAGGCAAGACTCACAGTCCTATAAGGACTTTTGTCAAACTACATATATTCAAACAGTTTGTGAGTGTGCCAAGCTAGCGGCATGGCTGTGCGGATGACCACGTTTTTCTGTCGTCTGTCAAAAGTAATGACCTTCCCATCAGCCACTGCTGTAATTTGTGTTTACTGCTAATTAGCAAATGTTAGCACGCAAACACGCTAAGCTAAAATGGCAAACATGGTAAACATTATACTGTCATCATGTTAGCATATTCATTGTGAGCGTTGGAAAATACTTTTATTCACTTTATCCCAAGAGTTACAGGAGAAGATTGGTACCACTTTCATTTCTGTGCATTAAATATGAAGCTGGAGTCAAGAGTTGGTTAGCTTAGCACAAAGACTGGAAACAGAGGGAAACACCTAGCCTGTCTCTTTTCAAAGGTTATAATTAACACTTTACATCTTTAATCCGTACAAATAATGAGTTAAACAGTTTACTTTGGACAGAGTTTTCGCTAACAGTTTCAAGTCTTTATGCTAAGATAAGCTAACCGTCTCCAGGCTATAGCTTTATATTAAGTGCACAAACTTAATATGTGGTATAGATCTTCTCGTCCAACTCTTGGCAAGAAACCAAATGAGAGTATTTCACAAAATCATGAATTACTTCCTTTGAGTGTAGGATTGTGTGTTTGTTTTTAAAGCCCCTGTCATAATTATATTACTGGGTTTTCCATTTCTAACATCTGTCCAAGGTTTTTCTTTCTCTGGTTTGGTTTTCCTGCTTGTAAGGTTTTGTAATGCCATTTAATGTTTTTTTGTTGTTTGTTTGTTTGTTTTTATGAGTGACTGTTGATTAGTTAAACCAAATTATTAGCTAGATGTAGTGTCTGTGTCCTTCAACTGTCTTTTTGTTTTTCTCTTCATAAAGTCTGCTCAGACTTGATGAAATGCTGCCTTAAATTGAAACCTAGTAGACTGTATTTCAAACAGATGCAATTGGCACTTACAGAGGCAGACTGAAAGTGAACAATAGCAATAAAAAAAAAAAAATTCTGTTGTGTTTTA